AGATTTACAAGATTTTATATAAAAACTCTTTTAACATAAATGAAGACAAGCTCTCTGCTGAATTCCGTGACTTTCTAGACCTGGTTCAAGATAGGTGTTTTTCCCAGATACTTGCTGCAGTAAATGACATAGATGAGGAATGAGTCCCCCCTGGTGGCTTAGACAGACAGGCACATGGGGAAACCTCTCTATCCTCTCCTGTTCCTTATTGCACTTCTATTGCACAAGTCAAGACTATTCCGATGCTTTAAAAAAATCAGCGTAACTAGGCTCCATTTTAAAAGGATCTGGCTGGCTAATGGGAAAATAGTGCTACTGGTATCAGGGCTAAAATATCACTTATGACCATGATTATAAAGTCTACAACCTTGACCATTGTGTCTGATCAAATTGTCCTTAAATCAAAATAACCTCAACCATTTTAAAATCTTTTCAGCAAATGCAGTTTTAGATGCTTGTGTCTTCCAATACTTGTATCGATGCCATTCATAGGAGTGATGTCTTGTGATGCTCACTGAAGCCCCAAACTAGGGCACTAGAGGTATGAGGAGTCTGCTCTGTCCCTTTCAAGTCAGTACGAAGGGCGCTGGAGAGGAAGGACATAAACTTCTATACATTTTATTTTTACTAAATACTCTTTCTTTACTATAATCTTCCTGATCCAGAAGGAAGGTGAAAAGAAGAGAAAGAGAAGTGGAAAGAGCTACACAGTAGTGTTACTTCACTAGAGTTTTGTGACAATTTACTTCATTTATTCTGAAATCCTTTGCAACTATATTTAGTAGGGACCAACTCTCATATCCAGTTAACAGTACATAAAATAAATCCAAGTCTAGAGAATTTAGGACTTCATACTTATGACTACTCATTTTGTCTACATCTGAGATGCTGAGAGTAGAAGTTTAACTCCAAGCCTCCTCACTGATTTGTGGTTAAAATCCTTAAACTAATTTATGATATTTTTATCTCCTTTCTCAATACATCTGAAAAGTGCTTAACTTACTTGTGATTGCTTTCCAAAATAATCACTTTGTATTTGGATTGTTGGCTGCAGATGAGTACTTTGACCAGATAAGCACTTGTAAGTCACTGAAATCTCCCTCAGGAAAGATTTATAATATACATTATCATAAAATCCCATCACAGAAAAATAAATAACAGTATACCAGTACAGCAGAGGAAAGTACTCCGTTTCAAAGTGTTAGTCAGACAGAATTAAAAATTACGTTCTAGTTCTTGGCATGTACCAAAACCTCACATTAATGGAAAACTCTTTTAAGATGTTAAACACATTTATTCAATAAAGAAGAGGCAATAATAATTTAATTTTCCTTGCAGGACCATTTCTGACAGTTTTTGAAGTAGATCTTTTTGCAGCTGGAAGCAGACATGTTTATTACTTCTGATCCTGGGTTTAGGGTTGCTGCTGAAGACACTCCAATGTAAAGGGGCTGTATGTAAGACATAAGGCAGGTATTCACAAAACAAAAACACACTTGGCAATCAACATAAAAAGTAGACAATTGTAGCAATTCATGAGTAAATCTCTCTTCTCAAATCCTCCCATCCTACGTTCGACAATGTTTATAGTGGAAGTAGAAAGTCAAGCCCAGGGATGCCAGAAAGAGGTAGAGGATTCAGCTCATCTACATGCAGCCGATGAAGTACTTGAGGGTGTCAGGGGAGTCCAACCCAAGAGCAGTGCACCAGCACATATCCAGGGGTGAGCTGGTAGCATATGAGTAAGAAAGCAAATAGTTGTGAAAAGAAAGAAAAAGTGATGTGCGTTATTCTGAATATATTTTTTTAAATGCTGTATGCACTTCGGCTTAGTGGTTTGATTTGAATATAACACATTAAACCATTGGAGGCTATTAAAGTGACGCAAATACACACCAGGTGGTATCCTGTGCTACAGTTGTGTTGGAAATAACTCTCTGTCTGTTGCCAGTAGACTTATGGTTTATTCTTTCCAAGTCAAGTTTAAGATGAAAGCTTATCGTTATACTCTAAAGTATGCATTAAACCATTAAAATTGTCAAGAAGAAGAGAAAGCAGAGGGTGAAGGGAGAAGAAAGGGCTGTCCCCTACCTGAGGCTGACAGAAAGCACACCACAGCAACACTGTCCACCCTGGTATTCCAGGAATGAAGACAGCTGGACATGTTTTGCGGCCTTTTGCTCTTGTTCTCTGTTCTTCCCTGCTTAAAATAGCTGCTCGCTGAGGTCTGTATAGCTGTGGGATAATCTTATTATAGTGGATCCAACTCCTAGCTAGCACACTTGTCCCATGTCTCGGGGGGCTGCAGCAGGCAATGTTGTACATGGGGGCATGAAGCAATTCTTGGCATGACCACAGAACTCCAGGGCAACCGAATTGCAGCAGCTTACCAAGTTTCCACCTATTAAGTTATACTGAGCAATTG